GGTGCCACTGTTGTAAAACAGGACTGACATCGGGCCTGGGGGGAGACTGAGAAAGATGAATTCAATAATGTATACTGCATTGAAACAGACGATGGAGAAAGCTGTTTAAAAGGAATATGTGATTAGGTATTTTTGTCATGATGGGAGTTCAGAGCGAAGGCTGCATAGTGGAGTGGACCTAGGGGGAGGGGTTGTAAAACAATGAAATAATTTTTCTTTTACTTTTCCAAGAGGGGTTGTACTGGGGTGGGGGGAGGGTTGGGAGGGTAGAAAAGTGCAAAAAGAAAAAAAGAATCTAAAAGGCAGATTAGAATTCTTTAAGAGCATTTGTGAGAGCTGTATTTGATGGGATGATGAGTTGTTGGATGCCAGATATCAAAAAGAATTATAAGTTTCCATTATATTTCTTTAGTGCAATTAAAGAGTTGAATTAAACAAGTCAAACTCACCCCCCCCATTTTTGCCTGCTCCCACATTCCATTCAGACCATGACACCTGCTTTTTTTAAAAGAGAAAGCAGAGTGCTGTAGCCCAGTGCTGACCTTTGCTTATTAGGACTTCTTTGGAAAGCTTTTATTTGCTTTTCTTTTACAAGGGGTAGTTACCCCTGCCTTTGTGTTATTGTTACATGTCATTGAGGAGAGTGCAACTCATAATGACCCTATGAACAACAGATCTGAGTCCTGTCCTATCCTGTGCCATCCTTACCATCTCTGATACACTTGAGCCCATTTCTGTAATCACCCTGGCAATCCATCTTGTTGAAGATCTTCTTCTCTTTTTCTGACCCTCCACCTTTCCAAGCATGATATCTATAAATCAGAATTTTGAAGAGAAATGGAACCAATAGGAAAAACACACCTATGCATACACGTGCACACACACTATATTTATGGAATTGGCTCATGTGTCAGGTTTATAGGAGGGATCGGCAGACTGAAAGTTTGGCAGACGGTATGCTATGATCTTTTTGTGTGAGTGTGATGTCACGTTAAATATCATAGAGGAAATTGGTGTTCTTTACAATTTACACACTATTTGTGATATTGATTGTAATCCCCACAATGTAGCAGCACTTTCCCATTGGGAATCCATCCCTTTCCTATTCCCTTTTTGCCTCTAAGAGTTCAGTCCAAACTGGATGAAATATGTTTA